ACCGCACGGCGCCGCACCATCAGCATCGTCGCCATCCGCCGCAGTAGAGTCACACTAGAGTCAGTAAGCTGCAAGGCGGTGGAGAAGAGAGAAGGAAAAGGAAAGGAAAGGAATTACATCAGAAAGAGAGCAAAAAAAAAAAAAAACTGTCAAATCAGCTCACACTTCGGCGGAGAGCATCTCTCTTTTCAGGTAATGCACACAACTCAAACATCCTCCCCGTTTGTTTGTTTTTCCCTTTGTTTTCTTTGCTGAACTGATTGGCATCTGCCTTTCTGAAGGCACCAGCCCTACTTTATCGCCGCTGTCCGACAATGGCCAGTTAACTGGAGGAGTCCCTCACCGTGTGGAGCAAGAGTGGCAGAATCTGACGGGGGTCATAAAGGCTGTCGGGTGTGCCATTGAACCCGGTCTCGGGAAACACTTCCTCGGCCGCGAGGACCTGCCCTGCGGCGCCCTTGTCCCCGCCAAGAACCTCAGTCAAGGTCCAAAGGCTCGTCTCGGCGTCGCACGCCTCTCTGCAGCCTCCCGCCGTAAATTCCGTGAGCAATGCAAAAGGAGAAAAGGCAACAGAGCCGCCCACGGTTTCCGGTAAGGCGGGTGAAACGCTCCACGGAGACGGGTTACTAACCGCACCGCTGTTTGCCGCAGACAAAGGAAGGAACCTCTCCACGTACAAGCGATAGTCGCGGTTTCTCAGCAACTCCTGCGGCAAAAGAACGGAGTCACAATACACAACGAATGGCATTAAAACTGGTGACAGCACAGAAAGCAAAAAGTGTCCCTTTGCCCAGGAGACGATCAGGTTAAAAATTTTCAAAGCAATATAAGACTCGCCACCGGGGTGTAGATGACCCTGTTTGGACGTATATTCAATGATGACTGTAACCAGGTTACTAAACAACTTCGTCATAAGCCCCACCAGAATTATTCTGTAGAGTGGAGGAGCAACACGAATATCATACACTTCATGTCGATCCGTCTGAGAAAGTAAATCGCAGAGGAGTAGATGGAGGTGGGAGCACAGTATCCCTGTTGCCGAAACCAGTCTTTCCTCCATGGAAATACGGCCTCCCTCAAAACCTGGAAGGAGCGTTGAAAAGTTGTCAATGACCCGCTGAACGGGATGAATAGAAAGCAAGGCGAGCGTTCTGGCACAGTAATCCAAGCCTGCAAGCCAGAACAGCTCTACTCCGCTCGGGGCACTCTCTCTAGCCGCAAACTGTCGCACAATGGATTTTGCTCGCCCCGTAAATGCGTTGAAGTCAAAATCCCTCAGTTCGGCAACTCGTAACGTCATTCTTTCAACCTCACACACATTACATGGGTGACTGGCGTGCAGAAGAGACCCGTAGATTACATGCGTTAAAAGATTAAGCCAACTGCCAATGTGGCGCGTCTCTTGGCACACCTCAAGAACGAGATGGGCCAAAAAACCAACGACAAACCGCTCTAGTGTTTCCCCTGTCTGCCGTACATAAAAATTCAGAGCCAATCGAGCTCCTTTCGGGGCATCTCGCACCTTCTGAAGCCCCTCATCGGAGCCTTCACCCCGCCTAACAGCACCGCAAATTTGCTTAATAGCCGCATGAACGGGATCCGTCGAAGACACCAGAATCCGCTTCGAAGGCACCCTGGGAGGCGGCGGCGGTGCATCCTTTCCCGTTGGAGCCACCGCAACCGGACTCCGGGCAAATTCCGACCCTTGAGAATTCTTGTGGCTGAGTTCATTTGACGTGCTCTCCGTCGACGGACGCGGAGCTGCCGTTAACGCCTGCAACGCACTCTCTCGGCGTGCCGCGTCCTTGTCAGAGCCTCCTGTGTTGGCTCCCTCGTCCACCCCCGTCTCCTTTGCCTCAGAATGGCGATCTTCGCTCCTTCGTTCGCTTGTCGCCTCCGTCAGGCTCTCAATGACGCTAACGTAGTCGTCGACGGCGATGGAGGGGGTTGAGCTTTCACCGTAGGCCCACGCGGGTTCCCGGGGAGCCAGCGAGGCGGCGGCGCCTGCTTCACGCATATAAGTCGTGAAGGACACATTGGAGCCCGGCTGCACATTTGGTTGCTGACTATGCAGACTCTCCGCTGCTCCCCTGAGTCTTAAATAAAGCTCAGTTGAACCATTTCGTTCCCGGATAACCACCTTCCTTTCCGGAAACGATTCCGCCACGATGTTCTTGCTCAAGTCGTAGGAAAACGTTGTCACCGCCTTGGAGCACACCTCCTCGATGCGAACCTTGAGCTCCTTCTTCTTGTACTTGCGGTCGCTCTGCCGCTGCAGCGTCGAGGTAAAGGTGCAACGAAGGTTCACCTGCACCTTTCCTCCCTCATCTGCGGCGAGCGGGGGGGACGAGGTGTGGATCTTGCTCCCGCGTTTAACATGAACCACGTACGTTCTCCCCGCTGCACACCCAGCCAACATATCGATCGATAAATAAAAAACGATGCGCACATCCCGTGTAACTTTACGCTCCATTGTGGAAAAGGAAAGAGCAACAACACAAAAAAAAAACTGGCGGAGTAACAACTGAAAACTACTTTTGAATACACTCGCAACTGCTCACCTGCGTTGCTGCTATTATGCAGAAGAGAGGAGGAGAGTGAAGGAAAACGAGGAGACACCATGCACAACTATATATATATATAACAAAAAAGAGATCATTTTCAATGGATTCTTCACTGGTGTGTCTTCAACGTTGACTCGCTTTGCCTGCTAGTTTCCTTGGAAACACGGCAATGTGATGAACGAAATGAACGCTATTTCACCGCTTCCTCTCCTTCGTCTTGCGTGAGTGTGTGTGTGTTTCTTCGGGACGGATCACCATCGTGGTGTTGTGCCTCTTGTGTTAGGAGACTCGAGGGCCGACTGACGGTCCCGTTCCTGCTTGAGCATTGCGGTCTCCTCCGCGCTGCGGACCACCCCCAGCTCCTCCATCTCCGCCCGCCCCCTCCGCGCCGTGCTCCACCGCTTTAGGATCGCGTCATCGATTGAGCCACCGCGGAGGACCTTCTTGTGCACCTCCGTCGGCTCCCCCGCCCCCGCCCCCTCCTCCGACATGTTCGCCCCGGTTTTGGGGTCCACGTCCTCAAACGCCACCTTGCTGGGCTTGTGTGCCAGCAAAAAGAGAACCCGCGAGAACTCCGCGACCGCGTTCTCGCACCTAGACATCTGCTGAACCGTGGGCAACCCATCCTCCGCGGCAGACCGCCGTGCCGCCTCCTTGTACCCCAGCGCCTCAAAACGTTCGATAGCCGTCGGTGTGGGGCAAACAGACGCAACTCGACGGCAGTAACTTTCGCAGAGTCCACAGTCTTCTTTTCGACGCTCCTCAGCAACTGCCGTAAACTGTGGCTCCCAGCCTCTCGGGGCCCGGCTCCGATTTTCTACCACCCTTTCAGTCCGTTCGTGGCAAAACTTTGGGCAGTCCGCGCATAGCGTGACTAACGAGGAGAGCGTCTGCTCACTGGTATTGTAACTGTCTCTACGTGTCTGAAGAGCCATCACCGCAAAACTTTAAACGGGGAGACAAAAAAAAAGAAAGAAACACAAGTGCCACATCCCCTATCAACCCCATCCAGCCAATCTTTTTTTATTTCGTTCTTTTGCTTGTTTGCAATTCATTTCAGTGATGCAACTTGTCGTCACTGTTATTGTTAACCGTCCTCGTTGGGCCGTAGCGTCGCCATCAGACTCCAGCGCCCCTTCATGGACAGAACAACGAAAATAAAAAAAAGGCATCAAACAAGACAGAAAATAACCACGTATCCTTAGTCAAAAAGACCAAAGCCCATGTCATCATCTTCTTCCTCCTCCTCCACTGCAGCGGCAGCGGCAGCAGCAGCAGGCGCGGGGGCCGCGGCGGCGGCGGGAGCGCCACCGGAGGCTGCGGCTCCTCCCACGAGCTTCGCCTTGCCCTCGGCGCACACCGCGTCAAAATCCTTGCCCTCGAGTTCGGCAAACAGTGCATCCATGCGGGAAGAGTCAACGGGCACGCCGGCAGCCTTCAAGACAGTCGCAACTGCATCCTTTGAGGGAGTCTTCCCGGAAAGGTTGACAAGGGCGTACGCGGCGAGGTACTTCATAATGACTAGACACCTTGCGGAAACAACAACGGCAAAAACAACAAGAACACAAAAAAGAAGGACAAAAAAG